TGGTACCTCATTTCTAATAAATAAATAACTACACAGCATACAGGAGGCCATAGGTTTGATCCCGGCCCTGACGCCTGTATATTTGGAGTTTGTATGTTCTCCCCATGGTCACATGGATTTTTATCCGGGTCCTCCGGTTTTCACTTCCACATTAAGAAACATGCATTGAGAGTACTTGACTGCAATACATTTCCACATGATAAGCCACTTCGTTGAGCTAACATTTGTGGCCTATGTCACTTCTGAAAAAGAGCTACATATGTCAGTGGGCCTTACCTGATAAAAATAAAATAGTAACTGGTGTTTAATCAATTTAAATGCATTTGTATAATCGAATAACTTTTTTTAAAAAACGTACTTTTATACATCCTTTGCATTATTATAAACGTATTAGATGCTACAAATTATATATTGCATCAAATTACAGTGACGATGAGGAACACACTCTAAAGCAATGCATATATTTCTATCACACAGCACCAGTGGTAGCCATCAAAGGAAACAACTGCGTTTTAGAAAATGGTTAATCAACGTGCACAATTATTTCATTTTATACCTACGTGACTTTACCGAAATAACCAAAGAGTTTGCACAATTACATTTACATTCCCATAGGTAAAGATGCAGTTCTGCAATTGCTCATGCCACTTGTGGCAGAAGGGCTTCCACTGGACTGAGCTTGAGAGAGCCCCTCTGGAAGGTATTTTGGGCTACCCTTGTCCATTGGCCAGACGCCTTGGAAGAGGCAGGAAGTGCCCACACTTAACCCCACTGCACGTGACCTGCCGATAAAGTTTCTATTCCAGTAACGCTGCACTATTTCTCGTCATTGTTGGAAACTCAGCGTTTCAATTACATTGTTATTTAAATTTTCAAGTCCTGCAGGAATTTTCCATTAAACGCCACGTAGACTTCGCATTCGCTGGCACAAGCCTGCAGAAATGAATACGCGTCCCTTCAAGCAAACGATAGTGACTCCGCTGACAATTATCTAAACCTGATCATTATCCACCATTGTTAACAATAAGGGAGATATTTATACAGGATATTTACGTGCATCACAAATGAGACGCAGGCTGCTGCTGCCACATCCTATATTGCATTTATGGAGCCAATTTAAACTGTGCAACACAAATCTCCACAGCATGCTTCTTTATACATCATTAATAACGAGAAAAGGTTACAACCCTGCCACAGCGAGATTTACTCAACAATGCCAGACATTACTGCATTACAGCAAACGAGTTCTCATTCCACAACAATGATGGTCAATTTACTGCAGCGAGTGGCATTTGCCCACACCATTAACAAAGGCAATGGAAGCAAGATAATGCAGAGGGTCATTTAACAAAGCATAATAAAAAATACAATGAACAAGACTGTCTTTAAGTGCACGATCTCTGCCCCGGTGACACTTTATATAGACTTCCCAAAAAAATAAGCAATTAAATGCCATTGTATGGCTTAATCTTTTTTTTTTTACTACAAAATAGTGATGTAAAAAGGAAAATCCAGATTTGTACCCAAGGAAATGTAAATAGGGGCATTTAATAAAATAACAGTGTATATCCATGTCCATCCACTACATAGATGAAGGCCTTCCCATGGCTGAGCCGGTCATGGGAGAGCTATCTGACCGTACTTTAGCATGCTGGTCAGTGTTGGTTGAAGAGGGCCAAGGACCAGTTCAGATATCATCACTCACACTCGTGTCAGCAATGGATGGGAACCAATGTCAGGTTTCTGGGTTCAAAGGGACATTTATATCGCTGTAAATGTATTTTGTGTCCACAGTTACACAGATAAGAGGAAGTAGAACACAGATGAAAGACCTCAGCTTAATTTGACCGGATTACATGTGTTCATGGCAAGTTGGCTCCTGCCTGTGATCCACAGCTTTGCATGCAGAGTTTGTGGCTCACACAGACATTCACATGTGATACCCTATACCTGGTGGCCATGGGAGGACAGTACAGTAGTCCTTCGGTTAACAGTGACATCGATTAACGGGTTTTCGGTTAACGTTTCGCCTCCCATAGGACCCCATGGTTTTGACTAATGTTTACATTTTGATTAACGGTATGTGTACATTATGCACGCGGGCGCCAATTTCGGGCAATCCGAGCGCTCGTATTTGGGCTGAAAAATGTCAAGTTCCAAACGCCTTGTAACTGATTAATGCGTTTAACATGTAATTCGATTAATAGTTATTTTGGTTAACAGTAGTTTTCGTGGAACGGATTAAAAACGTTAACCTAGAGACTACCGTACAGAAAATGACTCTGACCTTTGTGTGCGGATATTGAACGTCATCACCTCACGCACGTGTGTTTTTTCTCTGGGTTTTGTAGGCGACCTAACATCCATGTGGGAAAAGAAATTCCCTGAATGCACTTGAGCTGATGAAGTCTCAATGGCTTAGCTGGGTGGAGCCTGGTGAGTTTCATCATGGGAGAAAAAGCTGTGAGCTGACCAGGATTTGGCGGTACAGCAATGGATTATTGAATCCATCTGTGTGGAGTTGTGGCGATATCCCCTTGTACATCTAGATTGTTCCCGGATACTCCGGTTTCCTCCCGCATGGGAAATACTCGCTTGGGAATTGGCCGCACAAACTCTATGCAAACTCTGGAGACGGGTGAGGATTTTCTCAACAAAGGAAATTGTCCTTTGTTGGATAATCTGCATTGTGGACATATTCACCAATACAAAAAACGCACAGTACACATGGTACACATGCAACATGCTATGAAAAGTATCAACAAAAGCCATGATCCATCAAACTTCTTTAACCATCGATCCATGTTAGCTCATGCACACATCTCCTTTGTGCACGCGTATCCACACCTCGGATTAACACGATTGGCTACGTACGGTGCGAAAGAAGTTCGACATACATATACTGCTGTCTGGGACGGGTTCTTCCATTCCTTGGCTGCTACTGCGTCACTATTTTTGAATATTGGGCCATCATCCCTTCAAGCAATGTGTCCTTGTATGTATGTTGAACTTCTTTCCCACTGTACATAGCCACCCGTGCTAATCTTTCCCAAACGCACTTTTCCTTAAACTGTACGGTAGTTTAACTTAACTGCCATTAACCTGCGTATGTTCTCTAACACGTGTTCCTCTTCCTGTTTCAGGGTGATTCCACGCACCCACCGCTCCAAGCTTTATTGAGCACTTTACAGATTTTTCCTCTTCTCAATGTTGTTGTTCTTTACGAACCGTGTTTCTGAACTATGTCATTGCAGGCAGGTCGCACTTTCTACTTTAGACACGATCCACTTCATCATTCCACTGCTGGATGATGCAAACTCCCTCCACACGCGGTACTGGTAGTTTTGACCATACTTCACCCCGTTGGTTCGTTCGGGTTTAGTTCAATACTAGGAGCATTCAAGTGCAGTGCAACAATTTATTTTTGCTACACTACCCCACAGCCTATAGCACCTGTTATGCACAGTGGTTCGCCCATACGGATTTACCATCATTAACCAAACTGACATTCAACATCTTAATAAAGGATCAGTGTATCATAGTTTTTGGGGTTTTAAATACAAGACACACCGTCATACAATGCTGATGTCGGATATTTCTGATATTTATCATTTAACACATAGGCTTTCGCGACCAATATCATTCATAATAAAGGTTTTTGGGTTAGATCGCGTTATTTTATAAATGTGTCGTAACCCTCCACCACCGGACAAGCCCGGGAGCAAGTGAGGGCTTTACCATTCTGGCGAATTGCCCGATGATGCTGGATGTAATTACCAGCGAAACGTCGTACTACTCAAACTGTAAATGTTGTGGATTCACTCTTCAACACACCGGTGGCCTAAAGTAGTAGAACTATTTGTCTTTTGTCAAAGTGACACTTTTTTGCTGATTGGCCGTGTCGGGTGGTGGAGGGTTACGACACATTTATAAAATAACACTATCTAACCCAAAAACCTTTATTATGAATGATATTTATCATGTACACCGGCAAAATACATAATCTGACACATGCAATAGTTCTCCTTTATGAAAGCTAACCTATTGCACATATAATGTACACGCATTGTATTTACGTATAGATTGTAAATTTGAAAACATTTTTTCCTTTCTACCGCATTCGTTCACGACAAAAGCCTTCAGTGCATATATAGTATGTTATTATATATCCTCAAAGGTACAGTTTGTGCGAAGATAATTCAAAACGATGCGAAGTTGTTATGTTTTTTGGAAACGGGGCAATGTCACAGAAGAGCAGAAGAATCCATGGAAGAAGCAACTTTCATGAACAAGACAAATATCCACCGTGTAGCCTTCACAGACTCCTGTCAACCCCTTATCAGTGCCCTACCTCTACCTTATTACAGGCCAATTCAGACCTTATTGGTCACCCCGTGCCCCCTACTTATACATCTCAACGTTAATCCTTTCAAAAGTCCCATCACAATGGAGAAACACAAACAAATAAGGCAACGCATTTTTTATTGCCCTTTTTGAAAGGGCTGTACGCCGTATGGACATTGAAATACTCAATTTCCCCGTACTGCACAAGAATAACGGGGTAAACCGTATGGGTCGACAGCTTGTGTAGAATGTTGGGTCAAGTGCCGTCAGCGAAGGAACCCATTCAGGCCCGGCACGGCACACGAATGTGGGTGGCCAGCACCCACGCCCCGGCCGCCTTTGTCTCTCTTAAGCGGCGATGTTAAGGCCACCTACTCTGGTTTGAGGCCGAAAGTCGACCCCCGCTGCCGTGATGACACGCGCACAACAACTGCGGCATTGGGAGGGAAGGAGTGGAAAAATTGAACAAAGGTTCGCACAGGGCCGTTTGTCAGCGCAACTTCTGACGGATGTATACTGCTCCCGGTGCTGTGTGTGCGTGTGCCTGGCCACTGAGAGAGACGAGGCCAATGTGGGCCACACATACACACACACACAGACATAGAGAGACACACAGAGAGACAGAGACACACAACGAGGTGGCGTGTGATTCTTACCGCCTGCGCTGCAGTCTGCGCACACGTCAGGAGCCCGCAACTTTCGTGACATTGAAAGCTTCGGGTATCGTGGTCCAAAGGGCACAAACACACACACACACGCGCGCGCGCACAGAGAGACGACACACATTCACAACGCACTCACAATACACACACACACACATTCACAACGCACTCACTCACAATACATACATTCACACTACGTTCACTACACACCGCACACACAATACACTCACCATGCATTCATCACGATACATTGCACATTCACAATACAATCACTACACTCACAGCGCACACATTCACAATAAATTCACCACACACACACTTGACACTGACACATAAATGCATCATAAACGCTGTACACACAACACACGTTAACAACAAACTCATCAGACAATTACAATAAACACATTCCTCATACGCTCACAATATGCACATTCCTAATAATGACCACGCATTAAAAATAAACATTCACAATAATCAATCTGCACTCGTTCACAAGTGAAATACTCACACCAAGACACTCAAAATACACACTCTTACAATACACTCATTTACAATACACTCACACCAAGACACTCAAAATACACACTCTTACAATACACTAATTTACAATGCAGTCACAACACACTAAAAATACACTCTTACAATACACTCACAACACACTCAAAATACACACTCTTACAATACACTAATTAACAATGCAGTCACAACACACTTAAAATACACACTCTTACAATACACTAATTAACAATGCAGTCACAACACACTCAAAATACACACTCTTACAATACACTCATTTACAATGCACTCACAACACACTCAAAATACACACTCTTACAATACACTAATTTACAATGCACTCACAACACACTCAAAATACACACTCTTACAATACACTCATTTACAATGCACTCACAACACCCTCAAAATACACACTTACAATACACTCATTTACAATACACTCACAACACACTCAAAATACACACTCTTACAATACACTAATTTACAATGCAGTCACAACACACTAAAAATACACTCTTACAATACACTCACAACACCCTCAAAATACACTCTTACAATACACTCACAACACACTCAAAATACACACTCTTACAATACACTAATTAACAATGCAGTCACAACACACTCAAAATACACACTCTTACAATACACTCATTTACAATGCACTCACAACACACTCAAAATACACACTTACAATACACTCATTTACAATGCACTCACAACACACTCAAAATACACTCTTACAATACACTCATTTACAATGCAGTCACAACACTATCAAAATACACACTCTTACAATATACTCATTTACAATGCAGTCACAACACACTTAAAATACACTCTTACAATACACTCATTTACAATGCACTCACAACACACTCAAAATACACACTTACAATACTCATTTACAATTCACTCACAACACACTCAAAATACACACTCTTACAATACACTCATTTACAATGCACTCACAACACACTCAAAATACACACTCTTACAATACACTCACAACACACTCAAAATACACTCTTACAATACACTCATTTACAATGCACTCACCACACGCTCACTTTACACTTAACAGACTATGACAATACACAAACTCATAACATAACCATTCACAACACACCACACACACAGTTCACACACACGGCCACTACACTGCTAACACGCACAATGCACGCTCAACATACAAACTTTACACTTTCATTACGGTCGATACTCAAAACTCGCCAACAGCACATTCTCGATAATGAACCCTCAGAACGCACGATCACAATACACACTTAACAACGCGAACTACAACCACGCATAACTCACACAACAGCAGAAATACACACACACTTACACTCACACTTACACTCACACGTCGCTCACCTACCACTTACAACCGCAGTTATCGCGAACACAAAGACTACGCCCGCTTGTTACGCACAAACAAAATAAAAAAAATCACTGCAGGTGCTGTAGCTCGTCCTGCCCAACTCATTGGCCGGTGGCGCTCTTACAAAGTTACTGCTACGTAGTTTAAGCAAGCGAGCGATTAAAGTTGCTCGGAGTTGCGCACCCTCCTACCCCCCACTCCCCCCGTTAAGCAACAACAGCAGCAGCGGCAGCTCGGGCAGTGAGAGCAGACGCAGCAGCTGAGCAGAGTGCAGCCAACCCACAGAGTGGGGGGGGGAGGGGGGGAGGCCGTGGCCCACACTCCAAATAAGGACATGTCTCTCCGCCCCACGTTTACATTTCGCACCACGCATACGCATCGCTCGAGCCTTCCCATTGGTCGCGGAACAACGGGTGGGTGGGGCGGCGGGGAGAGGTGGGGGGGGAGATTGGCTCGCGGCAACTCCGAGCCCCGCCTCGTCTATGCTCTGACGAAGTGGAAGCCTGGCACTTAAGCGCTGTACGTAATGTGGATACGGGGCGGTGTGAATGGTTGGGGAGGGGAGGGGCGCACGCGGCGGTGTGTTCCTGTCAATCAAATAGCCGGCTGGCAGGGCCACGCCCTACGCATCTTGGACGCTACCAAGCTGGTTGATAACGACGGGGGGTGGTCGGGTGAGGTTGTAGTTACTAATCCCCAGTGACGAGAGCAAAATCCTTAGCGCGGTGTCGCCTCCCACCACCCACGATCTGCGTGCCGTTGGTCGCGCCCGGCGCGGGAAAGCGACCACGCCGTGCTCCGCCGCCCACGTGCGACGATGGTGGTGGTGGTGACAGCAGGCGGACGAGCGGCGTGGAGGCTCCCTCCTCGGGCTACGCCTGGGATAGCGCCCTACCTTTGACACGCGTTACACAGGGAGGGGCGACCGGCCCCGAGGGGTGGGTTCTCGCATGGGGGGGCAGGGGTGGTGGTTGGTAAAAAAAAAGACAATAAAATAAACAATAAAACTCACCTCTCCATACATAGGGCTGTGGGTTTGACAGACACTGCCTTGGCCATGCATATTGGAACGCGGCGGCGCTCCGCGGGGCTGGTGCTCGCTCGGGGGCTATGAGAGCCCGCGCAGGAGGATGTCATCCCCGCTCCGAGCGTCTGCCGAAAGCTGCCGGCTACACCGTTTGGTGTGGGACAACAGGACGTCCGCGCTGGAGACGGAGCTGAACAGCAGTCGGGTAATCCACACGGGATCGTTGCATCGCGATCTTTGGTGACAGCCGCCGCGCTCTCGTGCTGCCGTCCGGTTGCACTGCCGTCACCGCACGCTGCCACTCCGTGGTCCCCTATCAGCTGGGCAACTCAAATCATTCGGCTTGATTTGGGAGTGATGGTGATAATGGGTTTCGATTAACGTCAGGGCAACGGTACTTTTTTGGAGTTCAGTTTTACGAGGGTGAATTGTCGGCACGCGTGTCTGTGCTTGCGAAGCATATGTGTAATAACACGCACAGTTACTCATTTTGTTTTAGCACGCTATGGGGGTTGAGCTAATTGAATGTTTCCAGACGTGTTTTGTACAATGTAGAACTTTGATGCATAACCGGCGTATTGTTAGTTTAATTTACATTCGTGATAAAAAATAAATAAACCGCTGATTAAAGCGTAACATATTTCTGACAAGAATATCAATGAAACATGGATTCGTATTGCGTTACCCGTTATTGCATGCTGTAATGCATATTGCACCCGTAGTAAATACATTTAAAAGGTGTGTGATTTCCCAGGGTTTTGGGTTTCTGAAATGGAGCAAGCAGCATTTGTCGTCGGTGCATGAGTCGTGTTAAACATGCTCAGCGGTTTTCGAATTAAATGCTTAATAAAACGTTGACATCAATTCGCTACGCATTACTACACTGCAGTTTCAATTGTTTTGTTTAAATTTCGCCCTTCACATTCCTGTTCATTACGATCCTCTCTGGGTGTGTACAAAGCTGTCACATCGGTATGCGTTCCGTTTTCCTCTTTGTCATTGTAAAGCGATGTACGTCTGCAATACTGGATATTTAATATATATTTCAAAGAAAAATGACAGTCCTTTGTCCATCCACTGCTGTATCAAGGCCTCGCGGTGCTCTCTCGGTCCTCTCTGATCATACTTCACCACGCTGGTCAAGTGAAGTGGAGCGTTGTGATGAGCCGGGAGGACCGGTTTAGCAGATACCACTTGCCACTGATGTTGGCCGTGAACGGGAATTGAACTCGGGTAACAGTTCATAGCGCCGTGCGCTAACCATTGTGCCCCTGCTCCATCTCATCTAAGAGAATAGAACCCATATGGTCAATGTAACGTAACCGTGGGTTGCAAGTACAGATGGCTGGTGTTAACATCATGAGTAAACTATAAATAAAACATTATTCTCACTCCTTTCCTCACCTTTTGAAGATTAACTATTTTTCCAGAACACGAGATGATGCATAATGTTCAGAGTTACATATACATGTCGTGGTGGGAGCTATGCTTTGAGTTATAGTTTCTTGAATTTAACTATATTGAACACCCAGTTTTAAGTGACATTGCGCAGCATTTGACAAATAGTTTTGATTTACTGAGTTAAACGTGCATCTGTAAGTCTAATTATGGACAAGTATGAGATTGTGTGCTAATGTAAAATAAAATCTTGCTCTGCACTTTATCTGGTTAAATTCCAGCTATGATAATTACAAATATTGGTTTTAATTTATTGTCATGCAATGAACATTGCAGAATGAGTGGGAAAGTGCTGATCTCTATTGTGTACGCCAGAGGTCACGTGAATGGATCTCAGAAGTAACTCTGTAATATCTGCTTCTGTGGGCCATTCTCCAACTCTGCTGTGCGAGAGATCTGAATTCAGCACAATCGGGATACATTTGAGAGGTGGAATTAAAAGGCGAAAGAAAAACCTTGTTTTGATTATGGAATCTAACATGGAGCGTGCCAGGTCAGCCTGAAATGTCCTGAAAGAATGTGGCAGTTCCACTTGTGAACAAAGTGGACTGGCCTTGTGAGCAGGCAGATGCATGATGTACCATCACAGTGTAAAAAGGACAGGGAACCTACTGAAGGTCTGTACAAGCCAGGCCATGATCGCTGTGAGATTTCACACAACACACAAACACGTATAAAAAGCACTCAGCCTTTTTGCATTATGCAAATACGCTTTTAGCAGTTTCTGAAGAATTGGATTGTTTCCTCCTGCCTTAGGTCACCATCAAAGACATACAGAGATATACACCTTTAGATAGGTTCCGTCCTTGTTAGGACTTGTCGGTACAGTAGAGTTGTCAAGCACTGAATTATGCTGTCTGCCATTGGGAGCCATATATGTGAAGTTCCCACTTTAGTAGCATGAGGCCCATTAACTTGACTCGTGCCAACAATATTCAAATCTGTAAATGGCAATTTGCATTTTATGTTGGGTTTTTCTTGTCATTTACAGATTTGAATGGCAATGAGATTGCTCACTTCATATCTAATTTGGTGAAAAAGATACCATAAACTAAAGGAATCGGATATGTGTATGTGCACTATAACTCAGAACTCAGCAAATTTTATGGATTTACTACTGCGAGCGATTGAATTGTTAGCTTATCCACACCCTCTGAGCTCTTTATGCAAATTGCAAGTTTTAATGTGGCTTGTCCTTCTCGTTTGGTCGAAAGTACTGTACTTTCAGTGACGATTGTGGGGTGGAAATACACGCTTAGTTTATATTAAGTCATTCGGCAGTACAGTGTGCGCTATGGCGTTTTTGTAGAAATTATCTTATTAAATAAAATAGCCTTTGGCTTGGTTAAAAATGTATCTCATTGTTTCAATTGAGATTTTAAAAAAAGCTAAAATCATATTTTTTATTGTTCAAATGATGTCCAGTAATTTAAAACAAAACCATGGTAAAATATAGATATTAAAAAAGACGGTCTTTACATACACCACTTGACGTTATTAACTTATTAAATAAACCAATATAAATATTTAATTTACTTTCCAAATACGATACATATGGATAATAGGTTGAGGCTACCGATGGAATGGCAACCACTTGGGGCAATACACTGAAGGTGAAATCAGCTCGCGTTCAGGAGATGGATTGAGGCATCGTTTGACGTGGAAGGATGGCAACAGCTTCGAGAGGCTTTCATTCAGCGGCAGATTGATCACAGATTGTTGATGGAATAATTTCCTCATCATCAGCCGTGACTTTAGGGACGCTTCTGTTGATTTTGAGATACAATACATAAATGATTTCCAAGCACCAGCATTCATCTTTCAGTGATCAGCGCTTTTACAATTCCCTGTAACCGTTTTATGATACTATCCGTGAATCACTGGAAAACATGTGATAACATCCACCATACCACAACACAGTGTTATGCATTGTCCTTGAAAATATAGTATTTAATTACAGAAATGCTGTGTATATTTGTGATAATAATAATTTACTATCCACGAAAGCCACACTGAGTTACATAACTTTTTTCGGGAGAGTCCTTCATTTGGTTGTTATTTTAAGATGTTTTCAGACAGTTAATGAGCGTGTATAATAATAAGTGGGAGGAAACCAGAGCACCCAGAGAAACCCCATGCATGCAAGTGGACAACACTAAATCTCCATACAGGTGGGAATAGATGGTGATTAGTCCACTTGCTGTACTGCCTTCTCCTCGAAAGACAGGGTATATATTACATGCACATGAGAGACAGTACAAAACACATTCCTGCGGAGGGGGCTGGTAGGAATTTTTTCCTACCAGTAATGCCCACTAGGAGCGCATTTGTTATATATCCGGGTGTCCGGATACACGTGGACAGACATCCACAGACATACACAATTAATCTCCTGCCTCCTGTGAATTAATCCCGGCTGTGCCTCCAGTCCACTACGTTTCCTACCAGTATGAGAGACAATACAAATTACATGGCACGAACGATACAAAGAAAATTGAGTCGCTTTTTTAATTGAATCACAACGATGAATCACAATGCATTGAATTTCTGTGACGGGAGGGGTAATTCGTTTTATCATCATCAGCAGCAGCAGCCAGGGTCAATCTACTGTTGAATGAAGACCTTCCTGAAGGCACCATCTCTCAAAATCCATGTAGCATCTCGCGAATCGTTACACTTCCTCGTAAAAGGTAATGCAATATCTAAATTTTCCAGGTTAAAAGTACTATAATAATTACATATAAAGCAAATCTTATTATTATAACAATTGAAATGTCTAAACATTTTTTAAAAACAATTTTTATATTACCAGGCAAGGCCCACTGAGCTACATAGATCTTTTTCAGAAGTGACCTGGCCACAAATGATCGCTCAACGAAGTTGTTTACCATGTGGAAATTTATCATAGCCAAATACTCTAAACGCATGTTTCTAAATGTGGAGGGAAAAACCGGAGGAACCCAGAGAAAAATCTACGCGACCACGGGGAGAACACGCAATCTCCAAATATACAAAAATCAGGGTCGGCATCAAAACCACGCCCTCCTGTATACAAGGGGAGGTAGTTAATATCTCGACCCCTATGGCATGAGGGATAAGAAAGTAATCACTTTAGTGTGAGTAGCATCGAGATATTGGCATTTGTTGAGTTTTTATGACAGCATGCCGTTTATTTTAAAGGTCACATTTTGCATTTTCCATCGTAGATTTGGAAGATAAAGGTGAAAATAAATATTTTACATAATTCATGTTTTTTTGGGTTAGATAGTGTAAACACACAAATGTGTCGTTTTGTTTTAGTCTATAAAACCTTCCAAATATTATGAAGTGTTGCGTATCTCCACCTACACACAGCACCTCAGAATGTGAGAATCAGGGGAAGCTTTAAAAAAATCACAACATTTCAAACAATTGGCATTTTCGACATCACAGGGGGTGACGATGTTGAGAGATATTAAAATGTCGAATACAACGCTCCTGTGTGTTGGGCCTTGGTGGAATTAAAGTACAAGATAAGATGAATGAGAATGTGTGGAATGTCGCTACACAATACAGTATTATTGCCTTTTGAAAACGGGATCCAAGTGTGCCTGCCTGCCTGCCTCACGCAAGTCATTCTCACCTTCCTATCTCACATGTGGTGTTTCCACTGGGACAGTAAAAAAAAAACACTCAAATTGGTAGAAATATGTCCCAACAATTTATAATTCTTGTGTTGTCAGCCGGCCCCAATGGGCATAACATTCC